CCAGCTCTGCCTGTTTTTTTTTCCCCTACACATCTATGATTGATGGATTTTGGAGCCTTTGACCCTAAACTCTAAGGAGAGGCATTTCGAAGACTCTTAAAAAGGCAAGAGGGGACCACCAAGAAAAAAAAAAGACAATTTAATTAGAGCGACACTGATTAAATGCAAAACATTGCAGTTCAGGACAGAATACCTAGTACGATTGGCTAAATAAGTCACATATTCAATTCTTCTCTAAATGAGGCTCTGAAAAAGATCCCCCTGAAATTCTGGACAGCTGCCTTCCATCCCCATGAGAATCCAAAGCTGGACAGCTGTTGGGTCTCATCCAGTAAAGCAACAATGTTCTCTATTCCTATTGTTCAAAACCATGTTGTCATTTTTAAAGTGAAGACTGCCAGTTGAGTGTTACGACACAAGCTTGAGGACTAAAAACACTAGTCTCGCTTCCTCCTGGCTTATCAAACAAGACAAAGAGAGTTGACTGAAGCCCACACCAGTAATAAGACAGGTCTTGTCACTGCTAACCTAATTAATATCCATCTGCTTCACCCCCCTGCAACTAACTGTCCATTAGAGGCACTCATTTCCCCCTCTGCCTAATTTGCAAGCATCTACCCTCCTCTGTAATTACACAAACATCTGTCTGGAAAGCTTACAAAAAGCCTCCGGCATGTCTCTTAGATCCCCCTACTTTAGTTAGCCAGCCAAATGTGAAGGATGGGGCAGAAGGGAGAAAAATCTGATTTCTCCAAGGTCACAGATGACTTTTGTAAGATTAACGGACAATTACAAGGTCAAAGAGACACCAAACAGGCCAAGAAAATTTAATGGTGCTTGGTTTGTATTCCTTAATTGCAAAATGTCACCTCCCTCCTCCTATACATACACCATTGCAAAATAAGTTTTTTTTTATTTTTTAAAAAAGGAATCACAGAGAGAGTTAGGGAAGCACGAGCCAAAATAAAATCTTTTTTTTAAAAAAAATGTATTTATTGGTAATAAGTCACCGGCCGCCAGAATCTGTAACCTAGAAAGTCACTTGGATATAAAATATTATTTTACTGCTAGAAAGCCCTCAGTATATATTTTGTTGCTGTGAATAACCAGGGGGATCCTTGCCTCCCTTCTCTTTCTGGATTTCAACTCTTTTTTGCAGATTCCCCTCCCCACCGCCCCAAGCTGCAAATGCCAGTTTGGTCTAGTGGTTAAAGCACCTGGCTAGAAAGTGAGAAGCTATTAGTTCAAGTCCCATCCTAGCCAGGTAAAGCTAACTGGGTAACTTTGGGCCTCTCATCAGGAGTTCTAGTCCTGCTTTTTGCATAAAGGCCAGTTGAATGAGTTTGGTCCAATCCCCAGAAGATAGTGAGTTCTAGTCCTGCCTTATGCATGAAAGCCAACTGGGTGATTTTGAGCCAATCATCAGGAGATTGTGAGTTCTAGTCCTGCCTTAGTCAGGAAAACCTTTGCAAAATTACGGAAAGGAGCTAATATCCCTTCAGAAGATTCAGTTATAGAAAAAAATATTGGAATGCGCCGAAATGGATAAGCTCACATTGGAAATGAAAGACGAGGAGGATTCCAAATATTATCTAATATGGGATAAGTGGTATGAGTGTTTAAAAAAACAGATATAAAGATTAGAAAGAAGGATTATAGTAAATAAAGTAAGAGACCTTAAAGGAGTATCAATGTAGGTATGTATATAATAATGTATTTGTCGATGCCAAACCGTTGCTACAAACATAAGTGAGATTTGTATTTTTGAAAACTGTAATAAAAATTATTTTCAAAAAAATAAAATAAAAGTGGCTTTTATGGCTAGCTGAAAATTTTTTATAATCCAGACATGTGCATGAACTCTGCCTGATAAAAAAAAACCTTTTGGCTTTTGCTGAACGCCAAGCCATAATTCATCTAACAACTTAAAATGATGCTTCAAACAAAGGAAAATGATTCCATATGTAGCCAAGGGATTCCCTTCCCCACCCACCTAGCTAGGCTGCCAGACAGCTCTGGTTTGCAGACCCCTTGACTTGAAGAAGCTTCTTGGGAACAAAAAAAGAGTTTGTCAAAACTCGAAAGCGAGAAGAAAAACTAGCTGTCTCTCACGCGAGAGTGGATAGGCTTCTGTTCTAAAGCTCACACCTTTCAAATTTCAGGGATAAGGCAACAGAAACTGGACATAAAGGCAGGGATAAATAAAATAGGTATCTTTAATTGGCTGAGTGTGATTGGACACACGCGGAATTTGTCTCCGATACAGAAGCTCTCAGCAACAGAGAAAGAAATTAGGGCTACCATGTTGAAGCTGTACAAAAGTCTAACAGTTAGAAAGCTGTTAAAAGTACAGATCTTATCCTTTCCCTGTACTGTTTTCTTCTACTAAATTGTTTGCATAACTGTATTATTTTTGATTAGGTGCCGCAGGGAGAGTTTCGTGTGGATTTTTGCTGGGTTTTATTCTTCTCTTTCTCTTGAACATGGTCCACAAGCAAGCCATCTGGTAGAGCCCTAGGATAAGCAAGAGGCTCCACTGTTCCCTTGAACAAAACCTGGTTAATCTTCATAAGTGCCCAAAGATACACAATCCACCCCAGGCAGCATGAGCTTGGCTCAAGATTTAAAAGAATGTTGTTGTTTTTTCCTAATCTCCAAAATAGGTATGTAAGTGGAGCAACGAAGCTTCTACAACCAGAGAGCTTTTGCACATTTGGAAGTATTAATTTTTTTATTATATTTTGGTTACTAAAATTGGCCTCCCTTTGAATTTGCTCCAAGGCCTCCAGAAGAGCCCAGGCAGTTCTTTCTTCCTTAGGCTTGGTGCCTTGGTGAATCCAAGAAACTGACCCCCAAAAGTGAGGTCCTAACCCCAGCACTGTATGGCTAGGAGAGTTGGACCATAAAAAACCAGAATTACTACCAACCTGCCTTCCATTGAGCCACCTGTATGCTGCACGAATCAAAAAGAGGGCTGTGAAAATATTTACAGACCCCTCACATCCCGGACAACAAACTATTTCAACTCCTTCCCTCAAAACAACGCTATAGAGCCCTGCACACCAGAACAACTAGGCAACAAGGATAGTTTTCCCCCAAACGCCATCACTCTGCTAAACAAATAATTCCCTCAACACTGTTCAACTATTACAAAGTCTGCACTACTATTACTATTAATCTTCTCATCACTCCTTTGTTGCTTGTATCCTTAATATAAAGACTGTTTCCTAGTATGATTTGATTGCTTGTTGTATCTTATGATTATCTTTAAGTGTCGTACCTGATGATTCTTGACTCTTGATGAATGTCTCTTTTCTTTTATGGACACGGAGAGCATTTGCACCAAGACAAATTCCTTGTGTGTCCAATCACACTTGGCCAATAAAGAATTCCATTTCATTCCATTCCATTCTGTTCTATTCTGTAAGGAAAGTTGAGTGCCAAAGAATTGATCCTATTGAATTGTGATGAAGACTCAGTCAATCCTCAAGGAAATCAACCCTGATGGTTGAAAACCTCTCAGGATCCTTCCAGTTCTACGATTCTACATTTCCTCTTTTGCTACTCTTTAGCTAGTTACTAAATCCAACCATTTTGCAGGCTTCCGTCAGGCGATGAGCTATGGAGTTTGCACAACCCAGGAAGCCACAGAAAACTAAGGTTAAGAGGAACCCATTCCAGCACAGGCAAATCATAGCAATAACACAACTAAAAGGGACCTTGGAGGTCTTCTAGTCCAACCCCCTGCTCGAGCAGGAGACCTTATACCCCGTTTCAGACAAGTGCCTGTCCGGTCTCTTCTTAAAAACCTCCAGTGATAGAAGCACCCACAAGTCATTCCACTGATTAATTGTTCTAACTGTCAGGAAATTTCTCTTCGTTCTAGGTTGCTTCTCTGCTTGATTAGTTCCATTGCTTCTTGTCCTGCTCATGGACTACATATAGACTCATAAGGAGCCTTATACATTATCCTCCCGGTCAAATGATTGTTTCTTGTTCAGTGAAAACCTCCACCCACAACTCTAAGGAGGCAAAGTTTATCCCATTGTTCTGTCAGAAAATCTCTCTTTCTAAGTTGGTTCTCTCTTTAAGATGAACATAACTAATAAACGTGACCAGAATGCCTTGGGGGGTGGGTGGGTGTTGGACTTGATGACCTACAAGTCCCTTCCAACTCTATTAACCTATAATCTATGACAAGCCTTGAAATAAAAGACCCTTCCTCTTTGATAAAGAAAGGGTGGGTGGGTTTAATCTTAAAAAAATCTCTTACATACATAGGCGGATCAGCTCACCAGGGGCCTGAGCGTTCCCAGCCGTTGCTTAGCAGAGCCGAAACCAACAAGAACTTCTCCGCAAGGCGCTTTGGCTTTCCTGCCTCCTTCAAGGTAACCAGAGCAACAGGAGGTTCAAATCCAGCCTGGGCAAACACACACACACACACTACTAGGCAAAAAAAAAAAAAGCACGTTCCTGGCCCTCATGAAGGCAGCGCGATTCTTTCTTCAGCGTTTAGGGCATCTCTCATCTCGCGCCATCGTTGCTACCCAGACCTGAAAAGGCGCGGGGCGCGTAAGGAAGAAGGATGAGAGAGCGAAGGGGTTGGATAAAGAGGGCGCTTCGTTTCGCGGGGGTGCCCAAATAAAACGGGGTGGGTGGGGAAAGAGCGTCCCAACTAAGTGACTAAACAGAGCCACGTTTCCACTCCTTTCTTCCCCCCCTCCCAAAAAAAATCTGGTTCCGAGCCACATTAAGAACAACCTTTCCAAGGATGCAGTTCCAGAAAGAGCGCACAAACCAGGAAGAAAAGAGGATGCAAGGGTGGTCTCCAGTCCCTTGTTTTAAAAACATGCCCCCAACCCCCTCAAAAAACTCCACAATTGCAATGCCCACCCCGCCCGGATCTTTCTGCAAACCCGCCAACCTCCCCAAAGCAACCAAAGAAGAACGGCAGAAGAGACTATACAGGGAGCCCCCAGCCCTCAAGCCCCAATATTTACTTGGCCAGCGATGGTTGGCCTCTCTTGGCTCCTTGGAGCCAACTTTCTCCTCGACTTTGCAGCCTGCGAAGTTTTTGCAACAGGGCGGATCGTTTCCTGGAGTTGTGAATTGGCGGCGGCCAGTGTCGAAACGCATCTGGAGGAGGAGGGGGGGGGAAGGAGGGAGGGAGGGAAGGAGGAGCCAGATGGGCAGAGAGCTGCAGATGACAAGGCTCTTCCCCCAATGGCAGCTTGAGGGAGGCGGGCAGAGGCGGGGGTCATTAACATAAGAAGATTCTTGAATGGGAGGTAGAAGCCAGCCTTTCCGTAAGTTTTGGGTCCAAAGGGGAGGAAGGAGGGAGGGGGGAGTTATAGTTGCCTGCAGGGAAAAGGGAGGGAAGAAAGGAAGAAAAGAGAGAGAAAGGAAGAAAGGAGAGAAAGGGAAAGAAAGTTAGGGAAAAAGGAGAAAGAGAAAGAAAGGAAGGAGAGAAAGGAGAGAAAGGGAAGGAAAGAAGGAAGAAAAGAGAGAGAAAGAAAGGGAAAGGAAAGGAAAAGAAAGAAAGAAAAAGGAAGTTAAGAAGGAAGTTAGGAAGAAAGGAGAAAGAGAAAGAAAGCAAAGATAAAGATGGAGAGAAAGAAAGAATACACGCAATTCTGCAGGCAAGTCGTTCCACAAGTTAATTGCTCTAACCGTTAAGAATTTTTTCGTTAGTTCTAAGTTGCTTCCCTCCTTGGTTAGTTTCCATCTGTTGTTTCTTGCCTTTGGGGGCTTTGAAAAATAGTTTGACCCCCTTGTCTTTGTGGGAGCCCCTCAAATATTGGAAGGCTGCTATCGTGTCCCCCGCTAGTCCTTCTTTTCATTAGACTAGACATTCCCAGTTCCTGCAACCGTTCATCGTCTGTTTAAGCCTCCAGTCCCCTAATCATCTTTGTTGCTCTTCTCTGCACTCTTTCCAGAGTCTCAACCTCTCTTTTATATTTGTTTATTTGTTTCGTCAAGCATGTTTTGGATAACAGACATAATTAGGAACCTGAAATGGGTACGAATAAAAAGGGAGACATTAGGACAGGTAGGCACGTTGGTGCGCTTATGCACACCCCTTACAGTCCACTTAGGAATAGGGTGAGGTCAACAGTAGACAGTCTGAGGTTGAAGTTGTTGGAGTTTGGGGAAGAAAAGCTGGTGTAACCAAAATAACAGCCACGGATCTTTTTTCTAACAGGTTTATTGAAAAATTAAACCACAGTCTCTCTCTTTTATGTACATATATAGTGAAATCTGGAAGGGTTCCCCCATTATTGGCTAGGGACCGACGACAAAGCGGAATCCGGGCAAGAGGACTGCAGAGGCGTCAATCACAACCACAGATGGTTCTACTTCCCTCTGACGGTGCCCAGATCTTTTCCTGCCCAAATTTCTGGGACCTGCCGTGTTCGTTAGATGTTCCCATAAGATACAAGAAGGGGAAGAAAATAGAAAGAGCTACGAGAGTAAAGCAAGGGACGTTTTCAGACAGCTGTCTTGCCAGGTTATTCGAACACGGAGGCGAAGGAGCAGGGAGAGGTGAGCTAACCGATGGTTTACGAACCAGATTATAGATTAATAGAGTGGGAAGGGACCTTGTAGGTCATCTAGTCCAGCCACCCCCCCCTCCCCCAAGCAGGAGACCCTACACCATTTCTGACAGATGGCAGTCCAATCTCTTCTTGAAAGCTTCCAGCGATGAAGCTCCCACAACTTCCGAAGGCCACTTCGGTTCCGTCGGTTGATTGTCCTCACTGTCAGAAAAATCTCCTTATTTCCAGGTTGAATCAATCAACCGGAATAGAGCTGGAAGGGACCTTGGAGGTCTTCTATTCCACCCCCCACCCCCCAAGCAGACCCTACCCCATTTCTGACAGATGGGAGTCCAGTCTGTTTTTGAAAGCCTCCAGGGATGAAGCTCCCACAACTTCTGAAGGCAACTTCTGTTCCATGGGTTGATTGTCCTCACTGTCAGAAAATTCCTCCTTATTTCCAGGTTGAATCTCTCCTTGATCAGTTTCCATCCATTATTCCTTGTCTGGCCTTCAGGTGCTTTGGAAAATAGGTTGACCACCCCCCCTCCTCTCCGTCAAGGATGGTCGCTGGGAAGAAGGACAATAGGCTTCTCAAGGTCTATTTGGGAGCCTTTAGAAGTGGGGGCACTTAGCAGAGAGACAATATGTTGAGGAGAGGTCAACCCAACACCACGTTTCCTCAGCGGGAAATCCTGTGTAGGCTCTACCTGGGTGAACAGGTGTGCCCGCCACGAGATGCCTCAGACATCCCGCAAGCCCGTTCTTTCCTCCCCATCTCTTGGTCTTTTGGCTTCGGGGGTCTCGCAGACCCCCTAAAGTGCAACATTGAATTCTGTGACGAGGAAATCAATGTAGTCCTTCTCCTTCGCCTTGAAAGCCTCGGCGATGATGCGAGCGGCTTCCCTGTGCTCCTTGTCGCAGAGGGTCGTGCCGTTGATTTCCAAGATCACCTGGCCGACCTTCAACTGGCCGCAGTTGTGAGCGGAGCCGCCCTTCTGTGGCAGGGAAAGAAAAGACAAGAAAGAAAAGAAAGGAAGTTAGGGAGAAAGGAGAAAGGAAGAAAGAAAAAAGAGAGAAAGGGAGGAAGGAAGGAAGAGAAAGATGGAGAGAAAGAAAAAGGAAAGAAGTGAAAGGAATGAAGGGAGAGAAGTAGGAAGAAAAGAGAAAGAAAGAAAAAGAAAGATAGAAAGAAGAAAGAAAGAAAGGAAGGAAGGAAGGAAGGAAGGAAAGGAAGGGAAAGGAAAAGAAACAGAAAGAAAAAGAAGTTAAGAAGGAAGTTAGGAAGAAAGGAGAAAGAGAAAGAAAGGAAAGAGAAAGAGAAAGAAAGAAAAAAAAGGGTGGAAGGAAGAAGGAAAGAGGGAGAGAGAAAGGAAAAGAAAGAGTGAAAGAAAGGCAAGACCAAGGGATAGAAAGAAGGCAGGTAGGAAGACAAGGAGGCAGGTAGGAAGAAAGAAAGGAAAGATGAAGAGAAAGAAAAAGGAGAGAAGGAAGAAAGGAAGGAAAGAGAGAGAAAGCAAGAAAGAAGAAAGGATAGGAAAAGAAAGGAAAGAAAGAAAAACAAAGTTAGGAAGGAAGTTTGGAAGAAAGGAGAGAAAGAAAGAAAGGAAAAATAAAGAAAGAAAAGGAAGGAAGGAGGGAGGGAAGGAATGAAGAAAGGAAAGAAGGAAAGGGAGAGAGAGAAAAAAAAGGAGAAAAAGAAAGGCAAGACCGAGTGATAGAAAGAAGGCAGGCAGGAAGACAAGAAGGCAGGAAGAAAGAAAGGAAAAAACAAACAATTAAATGGTTTTGCTGGAGTTGAGGGAAGAGGTCCGTTCTCTGGCTCTTCAAGGTCAGTCTAAGAGCAAAGCCATGGAGAAAATGTCTCCAGCCTTTTCCTAACCTAAAGAGAACTTTCCTTGGATGTCCTTCCCGCGTTCTAGAGAACCCCACTTCCTTGAGGAACCCCTGAATTCATACCTGGATCGTGACGATCCTGGGCAGGGGCTGTCGCGTGTTCGCACCCCCTTCGATGGCTATGCCCAAGGTCGGGGCGCTCTTCAACACCCGGACTAGATGAGAAGTTGGCTCCCGGAGGCCTGGCTGTAGAAAGGTGGAGAGGAGAAGAACCTCAGTGGAGGAACCAGTGGAGTTGGCGACAAGAATGATGGACGCAAAAGACACGTCTCCAAAACTTTGACTAAAATCCTGAATCTCGCCGGCTCACCTTTCCTGGAGAAGTCCTTTTTTGAGTGCAAATTAAACCAGCGCTGCAAAATATTAAGCGGTCTACAGAGGATACCGTATGTATGTGTGTCTGTGTGTGTCTCTGTGTGTGTGTGTGTGTGTGTTGTTGCAATTTTTCCTTCTCCTTTTGGGGGCCACCCTAATTTTAAAAGGCAATGCTGCCCTCTCGTGGAGGAACGTGGCCTTTTAATTTCTGCCAAAATCCAGGCTGTTTTTAATAAGCGTACGAATCCAGTACAGTTACTCTATTAAAATGTATAATTCACTGGAGAGTGGCATTTGTTTTCTATAAATCATGAGGATACGTTTCATCTTGAGTTTGCATCCCATTCTCCTTGCCTAAGAGGGAGTCGTGCTTAAAGCACCAGACTAGAAACGGAGAGGTCCTGAGTTCTAATTTTGCCTCGGGCAGAAAACCTAAGGCAAAAGCTAAAAGTAAACACTACTCTACTCTACTCTACTCTACTCTACTCTACTCTACTCTACTCTACTCTACTCTACTCTACTCTACTCTATTGCATTCCATTGCATTCCATTGCGTGGCATTGCATTTTATATTCTGTCCTGTCCTGTCCTGTCCTATCCTATCCTATTCCTTAATCTATTCCATTCCATTCCATTCCATTCTATTCTATTCTATTCTATTCCTTAATCTATTCTATTCCATTCCATTCCATTCACATTCCATATTATATTTTATTCTATTCCATATTCTATTCTATTCTATTCTATTCTATTCTATTCTATTCTATTCTATTCTATTCCTTAATCTATTCCATTCCGTTCACATTCCATATTCTATTCTATTCTATTCTATTCTATTCTATTCTATTCTATTCTATTCTATTCTATTCTATTCTATTCTATTCTATTCTATCCTATCCTATTCCTTAATCTATTCCATTCCGTTCACATTCCATATTATATTTTATTCTATTCCATGTTCCGTTCTATTCTATTCCACTCCTCTCTAATATTGGGGGCCCAGGAACTGGGCCGGGCTCCAGGATACACCCCCACCTCCCTTTGCCTGTTGCTGGTGCCCGTGCCCGAGGGACGCCTCACCGGTTTGGGTCCTGCCTCTACCGCTCTGCCCGCTCGGGGGACTCCCTGGGGTGTTTGTGCCGGAGGCAGGCCCTGCAGCCGCTGAGTCCTCTCCCTGCTGGTGCTCAGCTCCGCTTCCCCCAGATCGACGCCGCTGTCTTCGCTCAGCGTCTGCCCGCTGGCCGAGAGCTGGGAGAGCGTGGAGGCTGGGATGGGAAACGGTGAGAGACAAGCTGTTAAAGGAAGCAGCAGAGCGGAGAGAGAAAAAGGGAGAGTGCTGAGAACAGAAGGACAGAGTTGGACTCTTACAAGCCTCCCGTGATGGAGAAGCCACAATTTCTGGAGGGAAGCCGTCCCACTGGTTAATTGATCTGGGACTATTAATTGGAAGGGACCTTGGAGGTCTTCTAGTCCAACCCCCTGTACAAACAGGAAACCCTATACCATTTCACACAAATGGCTGTCCAATCTCTTGTCCCAAAGGTGCTTTTTTTTTCCCGGGAGCCAACTGGACTTTCTTATTTCTGTTTGTTCTTCGAAGATGTTTTGCTTCTCACCCAAGAGAAGGATAGTGGAGCCGAAGAAGCTTCTTGGATGAGAAGCGAAATGTCTTCAAGGGAAATGTCCAGTTGCCTCTTGCAAAAAGCACCTTTGGGACAACCAGGGCCCGAAGGACTTGAGAATCTCTGCAAACTTTTTGTTCAATCTCTTCTTAAAAAATGAATGTCGGAGCAACCACAACTTCTGGAGGCAAGGATTTCCACTGGTTTATTGTTCTGACTGTCAGGAAATTTCTCCTTAGTTCAAGGTTGCTTTTCTCCTTAGTTAGTTTCCATCTGTTGCTTCTTGTCCTGCCTTCAGGTGCTTTGGAGAATAGCTTGACTCCCTCTTCTTTGGGGCAGCCCCTCAAATATTGGAGCACCGCTATCATGTCACTCCTAGTCCTTCTCTTCATTAAACTAGACATATCCAATTCCTGCAACCATTCTTTGTATGTTTTTTCCACCAGACCCTTAAGCATCTTTGTTGCATCTTTCTGTACTCATTCCAGAGTCTCAACATCTTTTTTTTACATCGTGGCGACCAAAACAGGATGCAGTATTCCAAGTTTGGTCTTACTAAGTCCTTATAAAGTGGTATTATTAACACTTCGCGTGATCTTGATTCCCTCCCTCTGTTAATGCAGCCTCGGATGAATTGTAACATGGAACAATAAGGACAGATTCTGTGGATGCTTGAGGCAGAGTTTTAAATGCAGCACAGAGGAAAATGTTGTCTGGTTGGCTTTTATCTTTTAAAATGGTTTGTTGATTGGGGCCCGCTTTATATTCATTTTTTGCAAGCTACCGAATAAGGGATGGATGATGTGTTCATTACAGGAAGAAGGTAGCCTGGCTGACTGGGGTGCATAAATAAATAAATTTGCATGCAACAGCTACGCATGAATATTTGGATAAAAAAAATATACAGCAGCTGCACTGGCTGTTATATGAGCAGAACGAAGCCCAGGGGTCAGCTCACTTCTCTTGTCACTGAATATATTATCAAGAGAAAGTTCTTGCCTGCTCCCTCCCACTTCACAGATTGTGCACTATCCATGTTAGATAAGAGAGAGACACAGAGAGAGAGAGAAGAAGGAGAAGGAGGAGGAGGAGAGGAGGAGGAGAAGAAAGAAAGAAAGAAAGAAAGAAAGAAAGAAAGAAAGAAAGAAAGAAAGAAAGAAAGAAAGAAAGAAAGAAAGAAAAAGGAAGGAAGGAAGGAAGGAAGGAAGGAAGGAAGGAAGGGGTTGGGTGGGTGGATCAGGAAGTAAGGAAGGCAGAAAGAAAGAAAGAAAGAAAGAAAGGAAGAAAGAAAGGGAAGAGGAAGGAAAAGAGAGGAAGGAAGGCAGAAAGAAAGAGGCAAGGAAGGAAGAAAAAGGAGAAAAAAGGTGGGTGGGTCAGAAAGTAAGGAAGGCAGAAAAAAGAGGGAAGGAAAGAAGGGAGGAAGGAAGGGAGGGAGGGAGACAGGAAGGAAGGTAGAAAGAAAGGGAAGGAAGGAAGGAAGGAAGGAAGGAAAGGAGACAGAAAGGAACGCAGAAACAAAAAGAGGGAAGAAAGAAAGAATCGGAAAGAAGGAAGGAGATGAGAGAAAGAAGCACTTCAAAGAAACGAAGTGGTCACCTCTAGCATGAGGCAATGGCTTGACTTCATTCACATCCGGTTCGCTATTCGGCCGATGAACTTCAACCATGATAAAGTGCTGCGTGTTCCCCACTTCAAAACCCCGCTTCTCTCTGGGAGGGGAAGCCGCTGGGCGGGTAGGGGAGCTTGGGGCTGTGCCAGCAGCCTCCGGGGAAGGCTGTTTCAACCGGGTGGGTGACTGGATCCGAGGGAAAGGTAGCATGGGGTGCTGGTGGACTGTCAACAGCCGGGCCTCCAGGGGCTTCCTCGAAACACGAGTCGCTGGAGAGATGGACGCGTAGATGGAGCTGGAGGCCGAGTCCTCCGTGGAGTTGGAGGCGAGGCTGTGGGTGTCCTTCTCGGAGAGGCCTTGAGGGGCCATGAAGAACAGCCCCGACTGGGAAGATTCAGACGACCCCAAACTGGGTTTGTGCACTTGGTCTGAAGGATCTGGCCGTGACTGAGAGGAAGGAGCCGGAGATGAGGCCCTAAAAGCTGGAAGTTCTTCGTAGAAAGAGGAGACATCATCCTAAACAGAGGAGAGAACATTCAGACGTGGCCACAAGAACAGGGGAGGCAAGGCCAGCTTGTTTCAGGCTGAGGGCCCTCCTTCCATTCTGAGGGAGATGTCAGGGGTGGATATTCCAACGGACGGAAGGTCCCAGCCAGAAACAAGCATGGATTCTATTGAATACGAACTACTCAGATGGACTACTCAGAAGGTCGTACAACTGTGCTACATATTTAAGCTCCAGCTAACAAGTGACCGACGGTGAATTTAGGCACTGCTTAAAGACGTAGCATGAGGAATCCCTAGCACTGATGATGTTACTTAGTGTGGCAATGAAATGTCTACAAGAAAACCACCAAGCTCCTCCTCCTTCTCCTCCTCCAACTCCACGGAGGACTCGGCCTCCTAGTAGTGACCTTCTAGCACTGATGATGTAACCTAGTCGGGTAATAAAAGATCTGCAAGAAAACCACCAGGCTCAGAGAGCACCAAGGACCCCACAGTCCTCCTCCTTCTACCCTCTACCCATTACCTTTTAGCACTGATGATGTAACCTAGTTGGGTCATGAAAGATCTAAAGAAAACCACCAAGCTCAGAGAGCACTGAGGACCCCACAATCCTCCTCCTCCACTTCTTCCTCTTCCTCCTCTTTACCCATTACCTTCTAGCGCTGGTGATGTTCCCTAGTTGGGTCATGAAGCATCTGGAAGAAAACCACCAAGCTCAGAGAGCACCAATGACTCCACAGGTCCACCCCGAGCTACAAATATTCTATCAGTTAAAGAATCCATGTCTCAATAGGATACCAGAATAAAACCTGGGACATCACTAGTCTAAGCTGGCCTTCCTTGGGAAGTAATTCTGCTGCTATAAGGAGCTGCAGAGAGACTCTGGTGACATAAATGGGATGTATCAGAAGGTCCTCTACTCTGTTCCCTACCACCCCTTTACCTCCACTTCTTTGAGCAGAACAAAATGATAGGATGGATGATGGGTGCTCATGTGAAGAAAGAAAGACAACGATTTCATAGACCAACACCACTTAGAACTATTAAAGCTTGGAGAGCAATCAGGAGGAGAACCTCTTGAGATGACCAAGTCTTACCAGGGAGATGTCAGGTAAGGCGTTGATCCTGCTTTGGCTTTCACTCCTCCCCCCATCGGAAGAATTCTGGCAAGCAGGGAAAGAACAAGGAATGTGGTGTTACAGAGGGATCCAACCCCAGATTCGTTCAGTATGCAAAGCTCTTCTCCATTCAGTCATTTCAGGGTCACTCAATCTCTAATAAAAGTAGGAGCAACCAACGTTGGAAATTGGGCCCTGCCTTGTATTTGGACTGATTATCAGCAACAGTAGGCATTGGAAATAGACACTGTCATCTGGTTGAATGAAGGATCCATATCATCACTCTTCTAAGGCTAAATATAGTGACTTTTGATAGACTGGGAAATCTAAGGAACCAGGAAAACTGCACACAAAGGTCACACAAAGTCAAAACACCACCAGCTATTCTCTCTCTCTCTCTCCAGTATTGATCTACAGTATCTATCTATCCATCAATCCATCCATCATTTATCCATCTATCATCTCTCTCTCCAATATCTATCTATCTATCTATCTATCTATCTATCTATCTA